CACCCCACTCAGACCTTCCACCAATGACGTTGGCAGTAAGCACCCGCCCCAGCCATCGTGTTCACTGCCTTTAATCACAGCTAGCTAGTCCAGTATGAAAGAGCAGGATCCAAAAACGGCGACACCAGGTCAGTTGAAGCAGGAGCAAAAGGAGAACAACGAGAGGAAGAAGGAGCCATACACGTACAAATGCGAACTGATTAAAGAGAACACTACATGATACACGTATGTAACAAAAACAGCTTACAGACATAATGAACGTGTAGGAGACTTTTCCTGGACCACTGAATCCCCATTTAGGATGCGCCGCTTATTCGGGCGCGTTCATACTTACGACCGGAGCAAGATTATCGCGCGACAACGCTCCAGCCAGCATAAAAGCGGCTTTAGAAAGGCTGGAATTCGGAATGAAAGAATTCAGTAGCCATGGGAACCACACCTACACGCTCAATAGGCCCGCTGTATTCTAAAGCTGTTCGACCCGTTCTCGACTATCCTCCGAACCAGCACCGCTCACGCATTCGTCGCGATGCTCTTCGGCTTCGGTGGCCAGCGGAGCGTATTCTTTATTTCTGAAATATAAAAATAAGTCACATAGCAACAACATAACCATAAAACATAACCATACAACCATATAACATATCAGGCGCACTTCGGCTTGGTGGGGGCAGCTAATAGTACTCAGCTAATCCTGCACAGGCTTGTGATTACCTGTTAACTCCTGTAATCAAAGTGGCTCACATGCATCATTTCACAGCATCACAGCACTTTACAGGTATGACCAAGTGAAACCTGTTAGTGAGCGCGAACCAGAAAAAGGGACTAGCGGGAAAGCAAAATGCTCTCTACGAGCCGAAGAGTGCCCATACGTGTTATATTTATTGAAAATTATGAAGTGATCAGAGGTGTGAAGTTTTGTTTGTGGTAGCCCCTGCATTCCATTCACGCCAGCCTGGTAGTGACATTAATCAAGAACTCCCACAAGGGGTAGCCACTGTCTAGGGGAACAGTGCGCGATAATCGTATGGGCGGAGACACCTGAATGCTGCCGCTTCCCCATTTGGACAGTCCCTCTAGCACAGTGAAGACTAGAGGCATACCATTGGGGAAGGCACTGTGGTTAAAGACACATGGTACGCTCAAACACATTGAGGGTGTATGAGACTATCAGCCCCCCAGCTGTCGATGTGTCGTGGTCCCCCGCCCAAAACTGCACGGGTATGGGGCGTCTTGGGAAAGCCTGTAATTGTGCTTTGGAATACGAAGTACAACGCAATCTTTAATGCAGATTCAATATTTCAAGGCTGCAAAAGAAAAGAACGCGGAGAGATAAAAGGGCTAAGAACGTCAAGATGCAACTGACGGTGCTTCTGCATATCGCACTAGTAGCTGCACGCGACGCGCGGCGCGCGACCCGATACGGTGTTAGTAAAAAACGCTGAGTATTAGCGCAAGGAATTACGACTTTCCCACGGCCCCGTCCCGTGCAGTTTTGGGCGGGGGACCACGACACATCGACAGCTGGGGGGCTGATAGTCTCATACACCCTCAATGTGTTTGAGCGTACCATGTGTCTTTAATCCCCGCCCCTACAATCAGCGGGGACTGCCAGCCTTGCTATCGATAACTGCTATCAATAACTTATTCGCTTGCTGTACTCACCTCACTTTGTTGCTGTTTTTTCGTTGCAACTGGATTTGAGTGAAATTGAAGTTACTCGCAGTAGTTGACTGCTTTGTAATACAGAATCTAAAATCCACTGTTGAGTGATTAATGTACAGTGCACGAGTTCGGAAAGAGAAAAATAATTTTCTTGGTTTTCTTTGGTGAGCGGTCAAAGAAATACCCAGCAATCATATGGTGGAGAAAGCTCGTACAGTGTCAATGCCGTTCTTCTTTTTCAAAACGCACTTCCAGGGGCGGCCAGAGCCAAGATTTCCCTTCTACATGGTTGACCCCAGCTAAGACACTTTCGTTATTACAGCCTTTCATGATCACTACTGAGGCAACCTTCCGCAAGAGAGGGAATTTCGAGGAGGGCTGTGAGCCTTGGGAGGCAGACCAGGCCACGCCGGGTCTGCTCCTCTGCACACTTTAACCAAGAAAGCATGTGTTCTAGCAAGGATGGTCCTCAGAACATGCCACCCTCACGCCCCGCTTGCACAACATGGTGTGGCTTCGCGCCACGTCGTCGGAACCTGCAGCTTCTCCCTGCATTCTCCCACCTAAACAGCTTGAAATTTTTGTGATGTTTGTGAAATTTTTGTGAAATATTTGTGAGACCACGCGCCAGGATCTGAACCTGAAGAAAGCCAGGACTGAACTTGAAGGAGGGGAGGGGCTGTAGTTGAAGAGACTCGAGATTGATAGTTGAAGACATAGGGTTTTTCGAAGTTCTGTTGGACCAAGAGCGTCTCCCCGGCAAGTCTGAAGGCAGTCTCTGCGTCTAGTACCGCTCATATGGCAGCGTTAGTGAGGGCTTACCAAGAGACCTAGTTGTGAACCGGTTTCAAATGTCCCTGCAAATGTCCCTGTTTTGGGCCATAACACGAGTATAGACAGCATCTGGAGATAGCAAGCGCTTGAGCAGCTCCTCCCTGTCTACTTTGATTCGGCAACCGTCCGTGCGCAATCGTAGCTACAGCAAGACTAATATTCCCATAGCTGGTAATATCTAGGATTTCTTGTGTGGTGGCCTCCTCCCTCCCCTCAACGGCACGGCAGCAAATGTTTGGGGAGAAGTGGATTATTTTTCGAAAATTTTGGAAAAAGTGGTGGGGATTTGAGAAAGGGGGATCGTGGACAGCATGGGGAAGAGGACGTCGTATTTCCCTCTTGACAGGAAGTGCCCTATTGCTTGGACTAGACTTAGACTTTCTTATTCTGAAGGTCCAATCACCTCATAGATACGATTTTAGCGAAATCATTCCTGACAGGGGACAATTCTTGATGGGAAGACAATCTATACCCTGTAAACTTCAGTCATACGGTGGAATGTGATGGAATCTCTCCAATAGGGTCGAATACAATCAATAAACTAAGATTGAAAGAGAAGTACTCAAGCAAAAACTCACGATTGCACTCCACTGGGTAAAAATACGAGCCAAAACGTTTGGCGGTAGCGGGATGACATGAGACAGTACAAGACAAAATTCACACATGAATTTATCAATGATAAAAGATCCAATATATCTCCCAAATAAAAATACAAATATCTGAATAATAAACAAATTAATGATCAAATAATTGAAGAAAATTGTGTTGTAAATGGAGTAGTCGATCCCCTTAAAGGGACATTCAAAAATCTCCATGTGTAAAATGAGAAACTGTAGCGCTAGACCTTCCTTTTAGCGAAAGAGGTGGGTTTGCCCATCCCAGAGCTCGTTCCCTCCCCGAGCTTAGATGAAAACAGACCAGGACTTTTCCGCATAACAGTGATTTTGCACAACGAGTCCTTTGAACATTTCCCCCACCCCTTCCTCTCAAGGCATACAGCGCCAAAACATACAGTCCTCATCATTGCGGACCGGTGGGGCGTGCCAGTGCGGCTCCGTCTTCCGCGGTGATGAAGTCGTTCTGCACCAGTTGTTGAAGCGGGCAAGTGACATTACTGTATTATATCCTTCGTATTACTCGTTTTCTACCACTTTTTGTCGCATACGCGTTTCAACAAAAAAGGCTGAGAACGGCTTCAACAGTGTGCGCACTCCTACTGGCTGACACGCCCCACCGGTCCGCAATGATGAGGACTGTACAACAAAATACTTACCTGTGAACGTCTGTAGTAAAAATAGCGCACAATATGGAGATGATTCCCTGAGGTAGTTCTGTTATCAAAAACACTATCAAGATCACAACCAGCATAGTCGTTGTACGATCTGATTTATGGGAAAGTTTCCTGAAAAAAGAAACTTTAAATACAGGGCGCTGAGGCATTTGGGGTCATCTCTTCTCTGTTCGCTCAGGCTTTCTGAGTGATATAGGGAGAAAGCTATCAGAGCGATAGTATTTCACTGAGAATGTATTGACAGTCAGGGAAGAGCGTGACTGAGCTGATACCAGGTACCCTTCTCCGCCCCCATCCCCTCCTACGACTACCCTAACGCCCGTTTTGGCTTTGATACTGCGATAGGGGGAATTGTTACTCGAATTGGGAGTGCGTGTGCTTTTCACGGTAAGGCCCTACACTGGTCAACTATCAGAAATAGGGAAGTTGCAGCAAGGGACACCATGGGGGTGGTGGGGGCGGTGATGTACTATAGCACGTTTGCAACGGACAATATCAGCAATCAAAAAATCGTTCCCAGACTAACTAAAATTCCCCCCCCCCCCAAGCGTTCGCGTTTGTGTATTGCCTTTATCAGAAGTTACTGTCACCTGGTAGATAGTTTACGTTGCGGCGAGTCATGGGCCCAGCCATGTTTCCTCGCTAAATCAATCGACATGCTGTAGTGTTTTCACCTCTGTTCAGTGAGATAGGGCGAATACAGCACACGGGACGGCATGACATGCCCTTTATCACAAAATGGATCTCCCAACCGGCGATTATTTTGATATGGATATGGTACAAAAAGGTGAGAGGGACAACATGCGAACTTCTACTTGTCTAGCAAAGAACTGCTGAGTGGGCCGTTCAAGAACGTCAAAGCGTCGTCATTCTTGAGTTTGGTTGTATTCCTGTCAATAATTGGTGGTAACGGTATAGCTCGTGAGCGCTAGTACCCAC